TTCGTTGAAGCTCTCAATTGTATTTTTTATTTCATTCATTGAATTCTTCAACTCCAAGATTTCTGTTTGTTTGTTGTTTTTTATATTGACATCTACCTCTTTGTTAAATTTCTCATTCAGATCACAAATTGTTCTCTTATTTCACTGAATTGTTTGTCTGTGTTCTCTTGTATCTTGTTGAGTTTCCTTAAAATGGTTATTTGAAATTCTTTTACAGACATTTCATAAGCATCCCTTTCTTTGACATGTTACTAGAAACTTATTGTATTCCTTTGGGTGTGTCATGTTTCCTTGCTTTTACATGTTTCTTGTTTCCCTACATTGATATCTGTGCATCTAATGGAGTAATTGCTTTTCCCAATATTATAGAGTAAATTATGTAGAAATGACTTTTTCCTATATTTTGGTCCTAGTGTTGGATATGTTGCATTGGGTTTGGTTTTGGGTGGACTCAGTAGCATAACCTCTGTACAGTTTCTTTGGTTATAATCCTCTTCAGCTATGTCTGCAAATGCTTGTGGCCTAGACTGTGGAAGTTTGTGTCAACACTGACTTTGTATTGCTAAGTCAGAAACACCAGGCAGATTTTTGGGCCAGGCATGTGTGGATGCAGAGGGCTAACTGGCTGTTTGGTAGTCTCTCTGAGACAAGAGTCACTGCCCAACTAGGTATCAGGCAAGGTATAGGCAGGCAGCACTGAGGTTCTCTCTCCCAGGGGGTGGTGCACTGCCTAACCAGCTTTTGTGCTGGATACAGGTGAGCCTAGGTGCAGGTTGGTGGCGGGGGGCTCAAGTGGCTCTGTTAAGGCCTGTCAGAGGAGTGGATGACACTGCCTGGGCAGGATCTGGCATGTGCAGGTGCAGCAGGGCCAGGTGGCTCTATGGAGGCCTGCGTGAGGAGGCAAAGCCACCACCTGATCTGCTGTCAAGCAGGAAGCAGGTGCACACAGGTGTAGCAGGTCCCACCAGCTCTGTGGAGGGCCACCAGGTGGAGGCAGAGCTACTACCTGATCCACTTTCAAGCAGAGATCAGGCATGCACAGGTGCAGCAGGGACTGGCAGCTCCATGGAGGGCCACCCGATCAGCTCTCTAGCCTGGAGCAGGCCTGCAAGGGTGCAGGAGGGCCCAACAGCCTCGTAGAGGACAAGATGGGGGCAACACCACTATCCAGTCTGCTGTCAGGAAATGGGTATGCATGCACCAGTGCAGCAGGGACTAGCAAATCTATGGAGGGCCACCAGCCCAGATGTTGTCTGGAGTAAGACTGCGAAGGATCAGAGAGGCCTGGCAGCTCTGTAGAGGCCTACGTGGAGACACACTTTAGCAATGGGATCAGTTTCAAGATGGCACTATACTGTACCCACTTAGGTTGGGAGGGTGGGAGTTGCTCTCCTTGGGCTTCTACTATGAGGCCATGCAGCTCGGTTTGGGGCTTATGAAGATGGGGGACTCTTCTGTGGCACTGATTGCTGGTGTTTGTGTTGGCAGTGGAAGTAGCTTGGGTTTTTCCAGCTTACCTTTTCTCTGCCTCACTCAAAGCTGGTCCCTGGAGGTAGAGAGAGAAAGTCAGAGGCAGAATGCCTTGCTCTGCCCTCTATGATCTATTGCTTTGGTCTCTTTCTGTGTGGGGGACAAGCACTAGACACCTCTAGTACCTGCAATCACAACTCAGTTTCAAAGTTCGGTGGTCTGGGAAGGACCCAGAAGAGATGCAGAAACTTGAGTTGAAACATTAGACTGTAGCCCTTGGACCAGAATGAGCTTATGGGACTGCAGCAATAAAAAACAAACAAACAAAAACCATCACCTGGATCTTAAATATTAGCCAAATATTAACTTTGAAGCCTCTTTAATCTTGACCAAACTCAATGCTTATCATACCTCAGTTTAGCCAGCCTATTTCCTATAAATGAACCCCAAAATATGAGCTGGAGTGATCCATGAATGGTCAGAAAGGGAGTGATACTTGTTCTGGTCTTAAACAATGGGCTGAATTTGAATAGGTAGGACAAAAATTGGAGAGAATGAGTGGACAAGCAGAAAGAACAATCTAAGCAGAGAAAATAGCATAGACAAAGTTCACATTAAGAAATACTTATTTTTAAGATTCCTTAAGAAAAAGCTACTCCCATTCCTAACCCAACACTTGCTAGAAAGTGTTTGAATTGATAGAAAGTGTCATAATTGCTGAAGTGTCTGTCTTCTCCCTTGGATAAGGCCAGGGACTTGTTCATCTCTGTATTTCCAGAACCAGAGCACAACGGCTGGCTTTAGTGGATACTCAATAAATACTTATTAAATGAATGAATTGATTTGTTGATTGAGTGATTACAGGCAGGAGAATAGTATTGGTAAAACAAACTGAAAAGATCTTATATGTTCTTTATTTTGCTTTTTAAAATAACTGTGTTGGAAAAAACACGTATAGAACTTACCATTGTAACAGTACTGAACTGTACACTTAAAAATGGTTAAGTATGCTTACATTGTTGTGAAACAGATCTCCAGAACTTTATCATCTTGCAGAACTGAAACTCTATATCCATTAAACAACAGCTCCATTTCCCTCATCCCTCCAGCCCCTGGCAACCCCTATTCTACTTTCTATTTTTATGAATTCAAGTACTTTAGGTACTTTAAGTACCTTTAGTACCTCATATAAGTGGAATTATACAGTATTTGTCCTTTATGAATGGCTTATTTCACTTAGCATAATGTCCTCAAGGCTCATCCATGTGGTGGCATATGGATCTGAGAACACTGATCAAGACCAAACCTGGGTCAAGAACTGCCTGCTTTTCTTACTCATAAAAACCTTCATTCTCACTGAAAGCTTTATCTTTAAAAAAAAAAAACTTCCTCAGTGGTAATCAGTGATAGAAGATGGTGATGATACTGGTGGGATGTGACTCTGGAAGGATGGTTTCATCCTGAAGCGTCCCCAGGGGTCTAATTCTCTAGCTCTTCTCTAAGAGGTTTAAGGTTGGGCGAGGGAGCTGTCCTATTTAGAGGTCCTGAAATTTTCTTACATAAATTCTGAGCTATCAGAGGGGCTTTGGACTTCCTTGTTCTGCTAAAGAAAACTCTGATAAATAGGGATTCCTCTTGGCCTAATGAGTCTTCATCCCTTTCTCAGAATTAATAAATCAGAACTTTACCCTACTCCCAACATATCCAGCCTACGGATATCAAAATAAGTAGTACAGCGTATTATTATAATACCCACTGGAAGTACTGACAGTCAATTAAACCTCATACTTAAATTATCCATAATAAAACAATTATGTCTCCCCTATTCTGAATATCTGAATGGAAAATGAAAATTTTGGTTACATGATGTCAACCAGGGGATTTTCTTTTAAGGTCCATGTATCTATATTTGTGTTTGTGTGTATATGGGTAGAGAAAATAACCAATTGATTAACGTTTTAGCTTTCTATGCAGCTGTTTTGGCATTGTGTGATACAGTATGGAGTAATTTTACTGTTTGGACAGCTGTCTGCTTTATTTTATTGGCCATGAGATTTTGAGTTATTAAACATTTTTTTATGTCCATGTATGAATATCTCAAATACACTGAATTAATGTAAGCAGAAAAAAAGAACTAAAGGAAAACTGCAACTAACATGCCACTTCTTCTTTCAATTAAATCATAACTATGCTTCGATGCCACTCCCTACTGTAAATATTTCAATCCCCAAACACTACAACAAGGTAATACTAAAAAAAAATTCAGTAAGTAGATGGACAGAGTGAGATATTTGTTTGTGTTAGTAACTATCTCCTATGCTTCCTGAGTTCAAAACACACTGTTCTGTTGGAATCCACTTCAGTGAGGTTGTGCTATTTCATTTCCTGGGTCTTTAGTCTATAAATTTAACTTCCAACTGCATTTGGTTTAACAACATGCTATGCCAAACAGAATGTCTTGTGGTATTTATCTTAAAAGAATTTCATTGGCAATTGAAAGAGGACTGAATAATTGAAGAGAAAGTAAGGAATATAGACTAAAGGTATTTTCAGGTCCCTGTGTCTCACCTCTGCTTCCTGACCTAATATTCAGATAGCCAGTTACCTAAAAGAAAACTGGAATTTCATTTGAAAAAGTTGGCCAATATTCTGAATATTTTGTTTTATTCAATTTGTAGATATTTGAAAGCCATCCAAACAATTAATAAAGGCTTTTTAAAATTTTTGTTCCAGATGTTTGTCTTTATCTGAAAAATTTAAAAAGATAATAAAATAATTGATAATAATTGCTAAGTTCATGGCACTGTTGCAAAACAATTAATCACTTTAAAAAATTATTCTAAATGCACTTATTTTATCATTGTAAACTTGTAGCACTTTTGTATACTCAATGTATTTCATTTCATTTATTTTATCTTTCATTTAAAACTTTGATCATTTTTCAGAACAAAATTTGTCATAATCTTTAATTAAAACCCATAGACAACATAGATTAAAACATGGAAAAGTAAATATGTATAGTGAGAGCCTAGCATGAAATTTTATTATTAATTAGGCAGAAAATAAAAACCAAAACCAAAACATAAATATATCTAGGAAATAACTTCTTCCTGGTACTAATAAAGAATAAAGGCTAATTTATTACCTTAGTCCTTATATTTAAGATATGAGCAACATAATGGATAATCTATGTTTTGTAAAGAAGGCAGAAAAATTTATTATATATTTCACATTGACACTAAGTAAAAAGCAAATATTAAAATATTACATCATAACTCAATGAAGTAATTTCTCTAAGTTGTTATGCTAATGGAGGCTATCAGTGTGTTTTTAATATTACTGAATATAGGAAAGTCCAGAATCTGCCACCTCAAAGATTATAGCCTTTGTTAAACTAAACTTTTAGGGGCAGAATGTCATCTGGGACCTAATAACCTTTACTAATTTGAGAAAGTGGGAGAAGATAGGAGGAGTGGAGATTGAATATAACATAAATACCAATGTTTAATTTATCTGTTTTCTTCCTCTAGTACTTTGGAAGCGTTGCAGAAATCATCAGGAATCATCAACATAATCCCCTGGTTCTTATCGACAGTCAGAATAACACAAAATATTCCACAAGACTGAAATATGCAGTTACAGTTTCATAAAGAAAAAAAAGGAGGTCAATATCATTGCTTCAGACATTTTCCCCAAGTTTCTTTTTGAGAAAAGTCTCAAAGCTTCATATTTTGGATTATGAATCACTAGCAATAAAATAGAAGATGGAGGCAGCTATTGAGGTGGTCATCCATGTCTTTATGAGAAGCTCACATGGACTTGTTCTACCTATTGTGTGACCCAATGAGCTGTTAATATCTGGTGAGATATTAATATTCCCCAAATAAATGTCTTTATTTAAAAGAAACAGGTGTAAAGTATTTTCAATCATGTAAAAAAATAACACCCTATTTTCAAAATAAGAAAATACTATTGGATAAAACGATACTGCTAGAAATTTAGGCACCCACAATGGTCACTGTTGCACTAATGTCAATGCTTAACAATTATTTCTTGGTTAAAATTTTAATGTGTAGAAAATAAACTTATAGATAACGCATGATATTTGCAAGTACAGACAAGGGGGATGTAAAGGCTTCTTTTTGTGAGTGCTCCCAACCATGGGATGTATATGGATATGAACTTTCTAGAAGTTCTTGTTGGGGATTATGTTGTTAGCTTTGCTTATTGAAGATATACCTCTTTGATCTGCAAAGCTATTAAATGAAACCTAAACTTGATATGAGGTTCAGAGTGGGATGAAGGCAAAAATAGACTAAAAGCCAGTTTCTAGGGAAACATCCCACAGAACCAGGGCAGAAAAGCAGACATTGATGACACTAGGGAATAAAAGAGATACCACTGTAAGCAGCCATATCCAAGGTCCTAGACCATCCCAAATATGTATTCTACTTTGTCATATCAAAGCTTTTTTTCCCACTGTACTTTAGACAGCACTGAAATGATAATGTAGCTAAGTCTAATGATTAAATGAGGAACACACTTAATCACTGAATAAGATAATCTCTCAATGTACTTTGAAAGGCTAGAAGGCAATTGTTTCAGAGTAACTCACAAACTCACTTGTAAAGATAATTGTATTTTTAAATGTCATGTACTTTCATGATACCTACATTATGGGTTAAATTGTGTCTCCTCCCCCCAAAAAGATATGTTGAAGTCCTAACCTCCTGTACCTCAGAATGTGAACTTATTTGTTTTTTTTTTTTGTTTGTTTGTCACAAACTCACTTGTAAAGATAATTGTATTTTTAAATGTCATGTACTTTCATGATACCTACGTTATGGGTTAAATTGTGTCTCCTCCCCCCAAAAAGATATGTTGAAGTCCTAACCTCCTGTACCTCAGAATGTGAACTTATTTGTTTTTTTTTGTTTTGTTTTGTTTTTCCTTTTTTGTCTTTTTTCGTGACCGGCAACGGATCGCAACCCTCAGTGTTGCCCCCGTACCGGACCGGGACCAGCAACGGGATCGCAACCCTCGGTGTTGTTCCCACACCTCGCTCAGCCAGTGAGCGGCCGGTCTGTATGTGGGATCCGAACCCTCGGCGGGAGCGCCGCCGCACTTCCCAAGTGGTGCACTGTAGCAGTGCGCCACCGGGCCGGCCCCAGAATGTGAACTTATTTGGAAATGGAGTCTTTACAGATGTAATCAAATTAAGATGAGGTCATTAGGGTGGGCCCTAATCCAGTGACTAGTGTCCTTATAAAAAGAGGAAATTTGGACACAGACACAGACAGGCACAGAGGGAAGACTATGTGAGGAGATACCCATGGAGAATGCCATGTAAAGATGGGGGACTGGAGTGAGGCATCTACAAGCCTAGGAGCGCCAAAGATTGCCAACCAACCATCAAAAGCTAGGGAGAGGCAAGGACGAATTCCTCTACAGATTTCAGAGGGAGCATAGCCCTTCTAACACTTTGATTTTGGACTTAAAGCATCCAGAACTGGGAGGCAATAAATTTCTAAGCCACCCAGTTTGTGGTACTTTGTTATGACAGCCCTAGGAAACTAATATAATATTTATGTAAATATATTTTTTAACAATGAAATCAGGTATACATAGATGTTGGAAATTTTGTGTGGAAAGCTTTTTTCACCTTTTAGAAAAACAATAGAATCATTTAGAACATACTAGAAAGGATACTTCACAATTTAAAGGCAACGGGAATAATCTTTTGTAAAGCAGAGCATCCCTTTGTAGTATGAAGTATCAGCTCTCTAGTTTATCAGTTTTTCTCAGTGTTCTATGGAATTATTTTCTACTTAAGTAAATCCTCATTAATTCCTTCTGCTACCACAGTGACTCTGGCTCCATAACAACCTCTTTCACTCCATCCCCACTCTTATCCCCCAGGTGGCCTATTTGGTAAAGGAGCATAGCCATAAGATTATACTAATCCAGTCAGTTGATATTCAGTGCTGCTGAGGTAGATTTGTTGGAGCAGCGGCTGGGAGAACTTCTGGGAGATAAGTTATTCTCTGCTGAGGGATCCTCTCTTCCCCAATGTTTGCAGAAATACCCAATCCAACTGCAAAGGGTCAAATATGTCCCCAAAAAGTTCATGTATTGGAAACTTGAACCCCATTGTGACAGTGTTAAGAGGGTGGGAAATCCAATTATTGTATTTGAAAGGTGAGGCCTTTAGAGGTGATTAGCTTGAGAGGACTGTGCCCTTATGAATGGACTGATCCATTCTGGGAGAAGAAAGACTGTCCAAGTTTGTTCAAGTGGACAACAGCAATGGGAAGGCTAGGCCTGTGGCCATCAGAAGCCTGAATTGTGCTACAGGTTAGCCAGGACAGTGGTTTAGAGACCCTGCACTCTGGGAGCTAAACTACTCTTACTACAACTGGGACAGGCTTGTCTAAAAGGGAGTCCCAGAGAACAAACTGCAGCGAAGTAAAACAAAGCCATGAGACATTATCTTATAGCACTAAATTCCTATCATTCAAATGATCTTAGCGTTCAATATAACTCAGCCTCTATTTCTAGGTAACGTTGCATGGAAACTGCTAAAAGACCTGCCTCACAGCAAGGTTAGTTGCACAGAATGCCCTTGAAACTTAGTGGTTGTATCTAACCACAAGGTGAGGCAGTACCGGCTTCAGATTCAGACAGGTCTTGGTATCCTAGATTTACCATTTATCAGTAATGTTATTGGGCATGTTTCTTACCGGTCTAAGCCTCAGTTTCTACATTTGTAAAACAATATCTTTCTGGTAATGATATGAGTTAGAATAAGCTAGCATACGGTAAGTGCCAGACATTTAGTTGTGTCTAATGAACATTAATTCCTAGTCCCCTCACCAAAAACTTCTTTGCAGAGATAAAAAGCAATCTGTGGATAACTCCTCAAATAAACCCACTTATAAATATTTTTGAACATTTAATCATTTTAATTGTGTCTCAGGAAAATCCCAAAATATTTTCTCTACATCTGTGGTGCTTAATCTTTAATAGTTGCAAAATTCTTTGAGAATCTGATGAGAGCTATGGGCCTTTGCCCCAAGGAAAAAATTGCATTTATGTATATACACAAAATCTCACATCAAATTTCATGAGATTCCTGGGCCCTTAAGGCTTATCCATGGACCAAGGGTCCAAAGATCCAAGGCTAAGGACCTTTGCCCTACATTCTTTTTAAACTATGATGTATCAAGATGAACATACTATTCTACTAACGAGGAATGACCCTAAAAGCAATTCTTTCATTAGATGAGAATGGGGATATTTCTGTACTTTAGCACGGGGGCTTTGGAGTAAGTTGCCTCAGTTCTAATCCCAGCTTCACCAGTAACAGATTGTATGAATTTAGGCAAGTTATTTGTCTTGGTTTCTCCATTTCTAAAACAGAGATGATAATGCAGCCTACCTCATGGTGTGTTAAATGGGTGTATTAAAAACTGAAAAAGTTCAGAAGGGTTAATTATTATTTTATTCAACCAGCTAACATTTATTGACCCTGTTGTGTTTTCGTCAGTATGTATGTCAGGCACATGAAATGCAGAGATAAAGAATCTGAAGTCCTTGACGGTATTTCAAATAGCCACTCAAATATCTTTTAAAATCAGACATTTTATAAAAATATCAAACAGGATTTTATCTAGGAATTATTGTAAAATAATGGCCTACAATTAGAAAAATCCTTGAAGAAAAAAAATGTAAGTAGAATAAAAGTAACTAACTACTAACTACGTAACTGGTGTCTCAACTGCAATGTCTCACCCTTTTTCTCCCAAACAAATGTAGAATTAAAAAAAAAAATCTTATCTGTTATCTGCCCCTTACCTATAAATGGGCCACTTAGGCCTAGGTTTTAATCCTGCTGGCTCTGACCGTTATTAGCTATATGACCATTGACAAGTTACTCAGTGAGCTTGCTTTCTCATTTCCCTTGCAGAGTTTTTGTGAGAATAATATGCACAAATACACAGACCAAGTAGGTCTCAAGAAATAGTAAAGCTGAAGTCTCAAATGCCTCACTGGAAGTCTAGAGGTAAAGGACACAATTTGAAGATTATCACAGTAAATCTGCTGTGAGATGTGGGCTTAAACTATGGTAGTGACCAGGGTCCTATAAAGAAACAGAAGGGAAATGTCTAAGGATAAACACGGTAAAGTTAATTGACTGCATATGGGGGAGAGAGGAGAAAGATAAATCCATACCAATTGCGTTGTTTCAAGCCTGGCTAACTTGAAGAATGGAAGTGCCTCTGACTAAGGGACAAAAGTCTGAAGAGTTGACCTGTTTACATTCTTAGCCATGTATTACTAAGACAAGAGTCTCAAGGGCAATTCCTTGAAGAGAATGTCAGAACAAGCCAGAGAACTTACATTCACATACAGACATTAATATGAGGAAAAGTTATTGTAATTGTCTGGTAAGAAATCTTAGAAGGTATTCTTCTGGAGAATGGGGGAAGGGCTGGCATTAAAAGAACTGTATTAAATGTTAACACGGCTACTGATTTTCATTTTTGTTTGGTTTTCATGATGACATAAAATAGTAGTGTTTTACGAAGACTTTTCTGACAGTAAAGGGATGCAGTTGAAAATGGAGAGGCTAGAGGCTGAGTGGCCATTGGATTAACCCATGCCTGAGTGCTGAGGCTGTAGACTAGTATAACAGCATCAAGAAGGGAAAAGGAAGAAAATCTAGAAAAGGACACTCCAGGACTTGGAGGTTAGCATCACGTTTTTAAGATTCATCTGTATCATTATGTTTATAACTAGTTCATTCCTTTTCATAGCTGAGTAGTATTCCATCATATGGATATATTAGGGCACTTCAAAAAGTTCATGGAAAAATAGAATTAAAGGATAATATGAATGTTTCCATCA